TCAGGTCGACGCCTGTGTCCGGGCCAAATTGCCAGGTCGGCGCCTGTGTCTGGGCCAGGTTGCCAGGTCGGCGCCTGTGTCCGGGTCAGGTTGTCAGGTCGGCACCTGTGTTCGGGCCAGATTGCCAGGTCGGCACCTGTGTCCGGGCCAGGTTGCTAGGTCGACACCTGTGGCAGGCTGATCCGGCCAGGTTGCGCAGGTCGCGCGCAGGCCGCGTGCAGGTCGCGCTAGGCCCGCCAGACCGGTGCCCGGGGGGGACACCAACTTGGTAAGTTGTTGCCTGGGTGCTTGCCTAGTTGTCACGAGGTGCCACGTGTCGCAATTTCACTGGAGGCCCAAATCTGCCCTCATCATATACATATCTGTATAGTTGGGTAGGCTTGAGCCAAGTTCGGGCTACTTAAGGGCTAGGCCTGGGTCTGGACCATAAAATAGAAAAATCCTGATTTCTTGGACCCGAGCCCAGCCTGAGGACTGAAAATCCAAGCCCAGCCTGTGTAAAATTTCGCGTTGGGCCTGTTCAGGCTTGGATTGAGCCCGCCCAAGTTGCACCCCTAATTATAACCAAACAAGATCGTAAATGAGCACAATGATATGGTCCCCAATTTACATTCTCCTAAACCAGATGAGACAATTCCATGGTGCAAAAGTGTATTTACACCACAACCAAACGCAGTGATAGACAATATTACTTTCAAAGGCTAGTACCAATAATCTAGTTTCTAACTATGATTTCCACTCCTACCTGATATAATAATGTATATTTTGTCTCATTTGCATTCAGTAGCAGTGTAAATTTTACATTTCAAAAACTGATGCAAAGTTTTCACCACCTTCCTCCTATCTAGATTCTCTCTTATATAAACTAGGGACCGCATTATTGTGCTTCCTACCTCACTCTCAAACCGTAAGCCTCTTCCTACCTCCATTTTCTTACATATAATACACCGTTTTATTTATTTTACTTCAGACAAACAAACAAGGTCAATTCTAAAGCAAAAATTAAACTAGAATTTACACAAACTATTTGCACTCCCACGCATTTACACCACTGCAAATTTATCAAACACAGCCTTAGACTCCATTTGTTTGCAATTCAATTTCATTTGGTAAGAATACATGGCAATGCAAATCAGAAGAGTGTTTATCCTGGTTCGTTCATTTTTAATTTGTTCTTCAACTGCCTTTTTACAGCATAAGGTTGGTATTCACACATTGGAGATATGGATACTCATGTATCAGGACAGGTGTCTCTCCGTGGATGGGAGGATAGGGAAGGAATCAAAGTATACCGTCCCATGTAACTCAGTTGAATGTAATGGCAGAAGTAGTTGGTAGAAGGCATGGATTATGAAAATACCATTACGTGAAAATTTAATACATGGACTGAGATAGAATTGTGAATATGAGTTTTAACAGTAAATGCTATTACAGTAAACGTAAGTGCTAGCAGGGAAGTACTGGTGGATGTGCAATTCGCCAAAAAAAAAGAGCTATTGAATCCACGTCAACTGTCAGTTTCAATCATATTAAGTTATTAACGTTGGCTTAACCATATGTCCGAGCGAGTAGCACAACCGACCATCTTTCTTCCAAAAATAATGGGTAAAGATGCTGTGACTAGTTTTTCAATTGCTGATGGCTAGGGCGATCCAAATGCAACTTTTGTTTTATTGGATCAAATGGATCCACCCCAATCCAATCCCATAATACTTGATGTATATATTTGTATCTGCGTAAGATTAATATGTATTTATTAATAAAGTTGGCTTGAATGTTGTATGTATATTATACATTACAAACGATGTTCATAATATTGATTAACCAAAAAAAAAAATGTTCAAAATATTGAAATTGAAAAGCTTTGTTATTTTTATTAAAGATATACAATATCACTCATTTCTTAATTCATTTTAATGATAATATGTACTGTTATGGTAATTTTTAATTTAATTTATTAACGGTATTTATTATTTAATATCCAAATCCAATCTAAAGTTGATGGCTTGGATCTAGTACTACTGGTGTTATCTGTCTTTCTAATGATAAGTTGATAACTTTTTGTTGGGAGTTGCAGATCGACGTTTTCTGGTACAGTGTTCATTAATTAGAAGAGGCAGAAATTCAGACTACTTCGTAGGCAGTTGGTACTTAGTACTATTGCCGAGGAGAAATGTTGGAGCAAAGTCCATTCGAACAGCCATCGTAGCCAGATATTCCCGATGCAAGGCTGTTCGAAGACATTTAATTATTAAAGCCCTACTGGGTTATGAGGATAGTATTAATTCAGTGGCAGTGTTTGTCCGTATTAAAGCTTTTAAGTTGTTGACTGGAGTCTATTAACTTTCTGTTACGTAAAAAGGAATGCGGTTGGGCCGGCTCATGAGATGGCCCAATGTATGAAACTCGTCCAGTGGGGATTACGAATCACTATTTTGCATATACTTTTGCTGCTTCGTAGTGTTATTTTATGCATAAAAAATCTAAATCTGATGGTTAAGATTCGATTTCTAAATATAAATGAATAAAAAATTGGATCTAGCTAGCCATCTTTTTGTTTTGTTTTTTGGAAAAGGATCTAACTAGCCATCTAAGTATAACAAAAATTTGATACTTTTGCAGCCTATAACAAGTAGAAGGGATACGTAACAATAAACATGAAAGAGTTTTGGATATATACTAACTTGTGGATCTTCAAGCATCGGAAATCAGGACATAGGAACAAACAACATAACACTAGAGATTGCTAATGGCCGATGTCTGTGATGCATCCCTCTGAAGGTTAAGAAAATAGATGACAAATAGGAAGTCAATTAAAAAACGCACACTAGTAGTTTGGTTGGTCACATAAACAAATTCAATAAATCTATCTCAGATGAAGAACCACACAAGTAAATCCCCTATGCAGTAACAAAATGAAGAGCACAAGAAGCCATGTATAGGACACAAACATTCATGTTGACAAAGCCAAATCGCTGGAAGATGTTAATGATCTATAATCTATATGCTTCATTCTAAGATAAACATTAGCATAACAGTGAGAGAAAAAGATCTTTAAGATATAGAATATTTGGACTCTAAAAATAACAAAACTCAAACTTGCATTTGGTTAGTCCATACTCTTTAAGAATTTGGGTACAAAAGATAGCCTACAGAACCAAATGTTATCCTTTAAAGCTCTAGTATTCTAAAAATCACGTCTAACTGTACAAGAGCCACTGACATGCCACCAGGAGAACAAATCATGAACGATTCCCTATTCTGTACAAGAAGCAAAAGCTTGACAGCTGAGAGATATCGCATCAAGTATCCGAATTGCCACAAAATTCCATCAAAGAAGATGTGTCAGTTCCCATTTGAGTACTGGCCTGACCCTTTAATCTCTGATTCCACTGGTTCTCAATTGAATACATTCCTGATGATTCACAAGCATTCCCCACTTCACAATCCAAAGCCATATGATTTTCTCGGCATTCAGGGCAACAAAATGCCCGCAAGTAACTGCATCATCATCAACATGAATATCAATACTACGTTAAAACACAAACAAATAATAGATAAAATGAGTCTTTAAAGTGGAGTAAAGTTAAGATCTATAAAACTTATCCGCAAGTCACTATGTATTACTACATTGATCAACAAGCGCAAAAAATGGACATCAGTAGTACTACCCAATCTTGATGCATGCATATGATCAAAGAAAGAACAAACAAAACTTAATTTTAGAGAAATTGAAGAACCACTAAAGATATTACATATTCTCCAACATCTGGTTGCTTTAATGGCATGAAATTGAAGTAAATTCACAAAATTTAGATGCTGAGGAAACATGTCATGTTTAAAAGTTGTAGGAAAGACCATCAAAAAGTCAAATTAGCTGCAATAATCTTGTATAAAATGGTTTTCAAATAATGATGATTAGTATGAGTCTTCGTATCACTTAATTCTTCTTGCTCCTTATAAAAAACATGGTAGAGAAGCAAAGACAAAATCCCCCCACAATTGAGGAAAAAATTTACGACATTGCGGCCGGACTATTGACATTGGAAAAGAAGAATAGATACAATGGATCATAAAAAGGAAAAGAGAAATTCAACCACGATGAAGCATTGATTGGGAATTGGAATAACATAGAACAGAAAATTAAATTAAAAGTCTTAAGCACAAAGAGGAAAAAAAAAAAAAAAAACAAAGAAAACGGATATCAGTTGAATGTATATAAAACCAAAGGACAAAAAAAAAACCATAATGAAAGCAAACGAAGAAGAAAAAAAGAAATGAACCCTACCTGTACATGTACACTTCATCACTTTCCCCAATCTTCTTCTTGCAAGAGTAACATTCTTCAAGAAAACCCCCAACCGTTCTATCAGATCTCACCTCATCGTCCCCCTCCGTTCTTGTCTCCCTTACCGGCGACGCCAGTGTCAAGATCTGTCGACGAGATCGTTGTGGTTTTGCAGCTACCTGTGGCTTCGAAAGCTTCACTGAATTCCTAGCCGCAGCAGAAGTAGATGGAGATGTAGTTTGCCTGTCACGCAGAAAGGATGGAGACTCGAGGGCCCTGACATGACTGAACATACCGATCTCCCCCTGGCTCGACGACCTGGCGATGCGGGAGCGTTTCACCGACATCGTAGGAAAGGTTCCACGAAAAAGACCAAAGGAGGGATTAGGGTTTCAGAAACAAAACCTACAGATTCTAGGGTTTGGAACAGCGTCAAGGGAGAGTGAGATCAAAGACCGAGAGCGAGAGGAGAGAAGAGAAGGTGAGAATTGAGAAGCTTCCAGTTCCAGAGGAACAGAGACGGGACTGATCGGGAATTCTCTTCCCTCGACCGCCACAATTTATAGGTTGTCAGTCGTACTGAAGAGAGTTTGAAAGAGGTACTATTACTAAATTACCCTTAGAGATCCATGAGGTCGCCGCAAAGACTTCAAAGGTTTAGCGTGCGAGTCAATCGGGCGAAACTCGCTGAGTTGAGGGGCTACTGCCACGAAGTCGACACACATATCAAGTACCAACCAATAACATTACAATTTTAAAGATAGAGTGGGATCCATCGTCGATGTAGCCCTTTTTTTTAAGTAAGAAATTAGCCACGTGTCAGGAAGAGAATAGGGTTCGACTATGATATAGAAAAGATATGATAACTGAAAAACAACTGATCTTAAACGTGGTTAGGAATATGGTGTGATTTATCAAAATTCATGGCAAATCTATTAAACAATGTTAAAAATAACATATAAATATTGAATTATGGCAAATCTATGGAACTGTCAATTTTATTCCTTTTAGACAGCATTGATGTAAATGCATGGAGTGCAAATAGGCTTATTGTAATTTGATTCAGATTTGGCACTCAGTTGGTGGATTCTCTGACTCATCAGAGTAGAGACCTGGGATCAAATCCTGCTGCCACTAATCTACTAAACCGCATCCTGCCCATAAATATAGCATCAATCCACCTTAACGCAGCCCTGGGAACTAGCAAAGCCAAACATCAATCTCGTCGTATTGGTAAAAGAAAAGTGAAAGCTTACTGACCCCATTTTAATTATAAACTATATTTTTCAACCCAGTCTTGCAGATATGACAAATGTAAAGAAGTTAGGGATGAATGCTTTCTCAGACACCATAGTAGTCATCTATTAATTCTCTCTGTAACATGTTAGTTAAGACAGGAGTCATGGATTGGAATCCCCATTCTGATTCATTTGATCTCAAAATACATGTTCTTGTATTATACAAGCGCTTATGCCAATTGATGGTATAAATCCATGTTCATGTAAGAAATAGTTGTTCAGAGTTTGAGTGATGACTCCTTTTGAAGAAATCATGGATGCCTGCATTTGCATCCATCAATTCGAACTGTCATAATCATATTACTACATACATCTCTTGTATTGGTCATAACCCAAGCTGTCAATACTCTAAATGTTTGTATTGTAACAAGAAAATTCAGCACTCTGATTAATGAATCCTTTGAAGGAGAGAGTCCCAGTCTCCCATGACCGGTCTATCACCTATCCTATGACAAAGCCACATAGTGTAGAGAAAAAACGATGTGACTGCAACGGTAACGGTGTAGAGAACTCTTCATTGATTATTTCTTCTTCCTTCAGAGTTCAGACCCCAATAAAACACACATTTGTCACTCAATTCCACTTTCACTTCCTTCGTTTCTCTTGAATTGAATTGTGAAACCAATTTTACCTTGGTTTCTCTTTTACTCTTTCCACAATCCGTATTATAAAATATTCAATTTCTTACTATACTGATCAACAATTCTTTTAATTTATTTAAATTTTTAACCCTTCAATGACATCGTGATATGTGACACCACAACACACTTGTATCAGCATCATCTTCTATGCACCAAACTGTGAATCCCCCAAAAAATGTCAGGTTGCGACCTACTTTACTTTACGAGCAGGCTATCATCTTCCCTGGGTTCGTGGCCAAGAAAGGTATACACGCGATTTAACTCTCACAATTCTCAAGTTCTCTACATTGAATTATCCACATTCTAGCTCTCTCAGAGCAGGAAGCACTAGATCGCTAATTTCATTTTTGGGCATTGTCGTGCAAAGACAATTACTCTCATATTTACCATCAATTTTACCCTGAGGTTTTTAATAAACAATTATTCTCATATGGAACTGATTTTTCATAGCCCTGGGCAAGAATTTATTCATTCTTATTCTTGCCCAATATACCCAACGGCCAAAACTTGTGCTACATATTTTGGTGTTTCATGCTCAAACAAACATGTTCTGAAGATCAACACGTTTTGAACTCCTTCTATCCAAACTTGACCTTCAGCTTGGGGGAGCATATTGGAGATAACGATAACCATGTATCCAGTTCCAGATCTAGTTTGGATACCATTTCCTTGTTTCCTTTGATAAGGATACTAAGAGATAGCTGTTGATTTACAGTTCCTCTCAGATTAACATGATCTCTTGATTGTACTCTATCTATGACTTACTAACCTAATCTTATCTTGTATCTTGTATGAGGCCTAAAGTCTATTATTCCCTCTTATTTATCTTGCTGTATTTTCGATAGTATTACTGTTCGAACTTGAATTGAGAATGGGTAGGAAAAGTGAGTAAGAAATCCCCGAGTCTTAACAGAACTGGTGGAGGATGCTTGCATGGACCCCATGCGCATATATTAATGCTGGAAATTCTGTTGCTGTCTTGATCAAACAAGTGTTTATTTAGAAGCAGGAGAGATATACTCATCATATACATGTAGTAGATAGTTCTTTTTTCGCTTCACAGTGCTACCTAGCTAGTAGATTACTACATGCCTTTTCTACATCCTTTACATTTTGGTCTTTGTTTAAACAAAAAGATTATTGAACTACATTATCCCATTGAAGACGTACACCAAAATTTGTTTCTCTCCTCGTCTTTGGGTGCCTTCTCTCCTCGAGTGCCGATAGCTTGGCTTCTCATTCATCTGCACGACCACCCCATTCCTGGCGTCGTTCAGGCCCTGGAAAGAACAAAGACTCGCTCTGTTTGCTTAAGATTTCATCCACCTCCTTTGCTGGTATATTATAGGATAACTCCTTAGCTTCTTTTTCCAAATACTTGATTATGTTATTTTCCCCTGAAACACCAGACCAGAAAACAAACAGTTAGGACGGTAGGGAGCAGGTGCCGCGACTTGTCGGATTTCCTATTTCAGAGCTTTTTACTGAATTACCTGCAACCATGTACTTCTCGTTTTTCTCGCCCTTTATCTCAAAACAAACAATTTGCAGATTCTGACCACTGGAAGCAACGGTCACAACAGGGTGGCCTGCCGGGACTAGGAACACCGATTCAGGGGCTAGAAATCCGCTCATTTTCCGATAACGGACGCCACCTTGATCTTGGTGGTGATGAAACCTTGAGCTGCTACCACCCTCTGATCCGCCGTGTCGCCCGCCCGAAGAAGACGATGAGTGAGGACACGCCATTTCGTAGTACCCATTGCCTTCAATTACCACAGCCACCTTGGTTGCTCTGGAATTGTAGTACGGACCACTCATCGCACCCTGAACGAATTCAGTACGTACTCGTAAGGGCGTGAAGAAGCTAAGCGATTGTATTTCCATCCAGTTCCCGAAGCGAAATCAAAGAAGAGATCACTTACACTAGAGATGTTTAGGAAGGAGACAGCAATGTCGAGACCTTGGAGCTGTTTGAACTCACCGGGCTTAACTTCGTAGAATTGTCCGTAGTTGTTAGATTGGGAGGGACGTTTGTTAAAGAGGTTGAAGGGACCCTTTGTCTCGCGTTTGTCGAATGGCCAGAACTGTCCACCTCTGGACGAAGCGTGTTGGCTCAGGGATTTGATCTGTTCGTCGGAGGCTTTGATGATGACACCCTTGTCTTGCCGCCCGAGCAGCCTCTTCAATTTATCCTTCCGAACCTGTTTTTTTTTTTCTTTAATTAATAGAAAAGTCTAGTTTACACAGAAATTAACGAACCTCAATCGATCGAGGGAAATAACAGGGAAGTTTTGGGCATGGAACAATCATACATTGAGAGCGGCTTCGAGGACCTCAGTGCTGAAGGCCCTGTAAAACGATTCAGGATTTTCGCCTCCTGGGCCGAAGAATGCCTATCAAAAGTGTTTACAATTGAAGATTACTTAGCTCCCTTACTTTAGTGTATATAGCATTAAATTAAGTACGCTTAATACAGACCGTTAACGTTAAGGCATCCAGAATATGTACCTCGAAATGGCCGGGAGTGGAGATGGGTAGAAGAAGCTTTGCGATAAAGAGCTTCTCATGGTTGTCGTTGTTGATGAAGTAGACTACGGTTCCTGCCGGAATCATCATCACATCACCCTTTTGAATCTTGAAGGACTCTCTGTTGTCATTCCGCACGAGGGTGATGACACCTCGTCCTACGTTCAAAAATGAACGATCGAACATAAAATTCATAGTATTGAGAACATTATTACAACGGAAACACTCAAAAGAACGAATTAATTAACTGGAAGGACGGAGGAACAGAACGAGCAAATTAAACGTACCCCAGGTAACGAAGAAGACGACATCGGCGTCCTCATGGCAAGGTGTTACAAAGGTGTTAGGGCTAGCCTTGATGATGGCCAATCGGTAACTCTCGATACCGCGCAGAAACTCCAACCTCTCGGAGAACCTCTCCAGAACCTTAATGTTGCCTTCTTCAGTTTGGAAGCGAGTCTTAAAGCTCTTTTCGTCGAATAAGTAAGGGTTGTTCCCTTCTTGTTCCTCTTGGCTGCCTTTACTTTTTGACTTGTCAATTTTGCTTCCACCTGCACAATGTTCGCGCTGTCTTTCATCTTGCTCTTTTTGTTGTTGTCTGTGTCGTTGTTCACACCCTTGCCGGCATAGTTGTTTCTCTTGTTCACCTCTCCCTTGATCGCACAACTGCTGGCATTGCTGGTAATGTTTCTCAATGATATACTTTTCACACTTTTCCTTACAATATTGCTTCTTTTCCTCGTCGAAGTGCTCTTGATGTTGGCACTGGTGCTGACATTGTTGGAGTTCTGGGTCCTCTACCTCGCCCGCGAGAGATAAGGCTGAAAGCAGAAGGTGGAAAGAGACCAAAAAGAGAAGTAATGACAGCTTTGCTTTGATCACCATTTTCCTTTAATTTTACTGAAGATGAGAACACTCATATGGCTGAAAGAGATGAAGAACGTCTGGAATTTATAGAGAACAGCGAGCAAGAAAGCTCGGAGATCAGGCAGGGTCTCCATGCAGGTGGACGTGTGTACAGTTGCGTGTCCACCAACGGGCCAAGGTGGGATCGCGGCGTCCGATCAGACAGAGCATCAACTCAGAAGGAATCTGTGCACCGTGTCGAATGGGTTCAGGATGCTCGTGCACGCGTCGGCCAAGGTGTGAAGTGCTGAACTGGATGTGGCATTTACGTGGCACCGATAGAACTGAGAATAACTACGCGACATATAGAAAGGTCAGCATGGGTGAAGGCAGCAGGTTTGGACTTATCTTAGGGGCATTAACACTTGGAAGAGTGTATTAGGGCGCGACTAGACTATACATCCTCTAAGGTTTGCCACGTGGCTATTTACACCAGTTATTGTTGATATGCGTTTTAATAACATCCTTTTTGTCCAATAATTAATTATGGTTTTGACAAGGGAGGATTGAGGAATGCAGACTACAGAGGTTTAATAGCTCTGATAAAAAACTAAATAAATTAATTCGATCATTCCTCAACCCCAACCAAACCATCGTAAGAATTGCCAAACCATCTGGACACGTCAATTTGACGCGTGTTGCATGCATGTTAAACTTGCATCTATAAATACGTCATCGCATCCCACCTCCTTTATCCATCCACCAAAACCAGCTTTCTCTCTTTCAGTCATGGCGATCAAATCCAAGCTTCCTTTGTGTTTCTTCCTCCTCTTTTTCTTCCTTTTATTGGCAGCATTGTCACCGGTTTATTCACTGAAACTGCAAAGAGATAACAAGCAAAAAGAAGGCAGCCGAGAGGAGGAGCAGCAGCAGGAGGAGCGACATAAGAGTAACCCCTACTTCTTCGATGAACAGAGATTCAGCTCCCGGTTCAAGTCCGAAAAAGGCCACCTTAAGATTCTCGAGAGGTTCTCTACCAGGTCAGATCTTCTGAGTGGTTTAGATAACTACCGCTTGGCCATCCTGAAGGTCGAACCTAACACTTTCCTGATCCCCCACCACTGGGATGCAGATGCTGTTGTCGTCGTTGTTAAGGGTAACTTTAATTTACCATCTCCATCTCAGTTCTCTTGCAGGCTTCCAGCTTTTCAGATGCTCCATCGGATACATTTAACACTAAAAGGTTGACTTTCAGGAAAGGCAACGATCAATTTGGTGCACAATGATAACAGGGAATCCTATAATCTTGAGTGTGGAGATGTAGCTAGGATTCCTGCTGGAACGATGGTCTACTTGATGAACAGAGACGACAACGAAAACCTTCAGATAGTCACACTCTTCAGGACCATCTCAACTCCTGGCTACGTCTCGGTAGATCAATCTTTGTGTTTTATTAATAGACCCGGTCATGAATAATGAAGATTCTATTCTTAACAAACTAATAGAAGAAACTGGTGTTGATCAGGAATTCTTCAGCGCCAGCAGCGAAGATGGGGAATCATTCTACACTGCATTTAGTAATGAAATCTTGGAAGCCGCTCTAAATGTTCGTTTCTTCTCTTATATTCTATTCCAAGTCTTGTGTGTAATAGAGTCGTAAATCTTGTTTGTCTCTCATCTGATCTAGCGCATTAATTACAACTGGCAATTAATTAATGCAGACTCCAAAAGACAAACTAAAGAGGATGTTGGAAGAGAAAAGGAAGGGAGTGATGAGGGAGGCGTCAAAGGAACAGATTAAGGCTATGAGCGAGCAGGCTTCTTCATCATCAGAGGGTGGGCGTCGGTGGAGTATACACAAAAGTGAGACGAGGGGCCCGTTCAACCTGTTTAAAAAACGCCCCATCTATTCTAACAGCTATGGACAAATCTACGAGGCCCAACCTAATGACTACCAGCAGCTCAAAGACCTCGACGTCTCCGTCATATTTAGCAACATCAGCCAGGTTATTAATTTGTGTGCAATTGTGATATTCTTCTTAATTAATTTGTTTGAAGAATAAATTAATTAAGCTATATATAATTGTGTGCAGGGAGCAATGCTAGCACCCTTGTACAACACGAGGTCGACCAGGATAGCTTTTGTAGTGAAAGGGAATGGATGGTGGGAGATGGCGTGCCCACACATCTCCAGTCAGAGCCAGAGAGGAAGAGAAGGAGAAGGTGATGGGGTACAGTATGAGAAGGCTAGTTCACCTGTGTCTCCAAATACAGGTTTCATAATTCCACTGGGGCATGTGTTCACCGTCGTTGCTTCCGAAAAAGAGAATTTGCAGATAATTGTATTCGGGATAAACGCCCAGGATAACAAGAGGAACTTCGTCGCTGGTGAGTTATGTTGTTAATTATTAATTATGCTTTTAATTTAATGCAGCAAATTAAGCATTTATATATGTAATGTCTAATGTGCGTGCTTACTTTGGCCTGGGTGATGACTGAGGAACAGGGAAAGAACACAACGTGATGAAGCAGATGGACAAGGAGGCAAAGGAGCTGGCTTTCGACATGTCAGAAGAGGAAGTGGATGAAATACTACTGAACAATCAGGAGGAGTCGTTCTTTGTTCCTGGTCCCCAGAAGCAGAAGCAGAAGCAGCGCCACAAACACGATAATGGCGGACGACTGTTCTCCGTCTTGGATTCTGTCGGTTTTTAGATAAATACACCTATTACTACTACTGCTATTACTATTTTCTACGTACTAGAGTCTGGCGAGAGTGAGTAAACATCAACTGTGAACTTTTTTGTAGAAAGAAAACAAATGAGAGTTGTGTTTTCTTAGTTTTGCTCACCATCTATGTATAAAATAATAATGAAATGAAGGCTCTTTTTGATAGTTAATGATCCATGGCAATGGATAGTTGGAAATGCGAGGAATAATTGGCAGCAACCATCTAAGTTGTTTCATTATTTGTGAAGAGATCGTCTGACGAGAAAAAAAAAACAAAAAAGTTAATAGTTTATAGTTTGGCCATCAGGTGAGATGGTCAATGTGGGTTAAATGACAATTCCTGAACCGCATAAAAACATGACAACAATAGTGTAAAAGCTAAGAAAATTTTCATATCCATTTTGTTTAGTTTGTAATCCATAGATCAAAGTTAAGAACCAGAGCACGGGGATTTGGGATAATGATTGTTTTGGTGGAGACGGGGATTAATATTAATCTTCCATGAGGTCGGGATTATTATATCATTTATATTATATATTAAAATATATTTAAAAAATTATTTATATTTTAAATTTTTTATTTATTTAAGTAAATTTATTTTTTCTCAGATATAGGACAAATTTTATCAATAATAGTTCCAGAACAAGGAGTGTGAGATAATCAATCAGCAGCTTAATTTGCTTACTATTCCTAAGACGGTTGATGACTTGTATAATTGAGAGCCAGAAGATGGGCCTCACTAACTTCAGCAAGGTTGATAATAGTAGTGAAACCCGACACATCCATTGAATTTGGGCAATTGCATCACCCTTGGAATCAGACTCAGAGCCCATAGAATAATTTTTCATTTCCATAAAGAGAGCTTTCTCCAAAATAATGGGAGTATAAAAATTATTGTTGAAGATTTATTCATTTCTTTAACCACGATAAAGAAATGGTTTTATGAAAGAATTTTTACAGAAGCAGTTTTATAAAAGTATTTCTATAAAAATACTTTTATACGAAAACACTTCTATGAAAATATATTTCTATAAAACTACTTTTATAATGGAATCATTTTTATGAAGTATTTTTATGAAAGTATTTTTACAGAAGCAGTTTTATAAAAACATTTTTACGAAAACACTTCTATGAAAATACTTTCATGGAAATACTTTTATAAAAACACTTTTTACGGAAATACTTTTATAAAAGTATTTATACAAAAACATACAAAAGTACTTTTATAAAAGCATTTATATGAAAGTATTTTATAAAAGTATTTTTATATAAACACTTTTACAAAAATATTTTTATTAAAATATTTTAGTAATTTTATAAAAATACTATTACAAAAGTGCTTTTTCAATGCCAAAAGGTAAATTTTGGTAATTTTCAAATTTTCTTCATTTTAATATATTTTTATAATTTTTTATATAAATTTGTATATTTCATTCCGTTTGGATTGGATCCAATTTAATCCATTTGCATTTTAATAGATTAGATTGGATTTGATTTATATTGGATTGCGTCCAGTCCATTTGTAAGCGGACTCACATTAGACATTGGATTTGGACTGGATTGGGTCGAGTCCATTTGTAAGTGAACTAAGTCCAATTGATACCTCTATTGCACCAATCCCACGTTGAGTTGTCCTGCCCCAGGGTAAACCATATCCGCCCCAATACAATTCCATACTTGTGAGACGGCACTCTACTCACAAAGCATTCCAGTTTCCAGATCAACCTTGGAAATGGATCATGGATGAATACAGCATTGGCACTATCAACCATATATATTATTCTTCACAGTGGTTGCGCATGGTTAGAGATAGATCCCAATGGAGATCAGATTCCAGTATGTTAAAAATCTCTTGCTCCAGACGGCAGCACCGTCCACAATATGCTGTAGCCTGTACCAGTCCAAACCTCGAGTTCAGACTTCAGAGAAAAGGAGAGAGAGAGAGAGAGAGAGAGAGAGAGAGATCAAATATAACCATTGAAAACCATGGAGAGAAAGATCTTATTTTGATCAAAGAAACTCGACTAAGATCGCTTCGAGAAAAAGTCTCGTTTTCATCGGCCAATGTATATATGATCTAACCTTCAACATAAAATACAATAAACTAGTGGTCTACCACTCTTAAAGATCAGGCATGCCCTTCCCAGTTTTAGCATCATATGTTTTCTCCAAAACGAGCTCCATTGGTGTATCCTTTGGACCAGCTGCCAAAAACAAATAATTAAAATTTCGTCCAAAAGGTAGAAAAATAGTCACAGTAAAAGTTCTATATCAAGTTAATACAGGGGAACTTTTATCTAGACGACAAAACAGAAGAATAAAAACAACTTAGACAAATCCCCCCCCACACACACAAATTTTCTTGACAAACAAAAAAGAACACCAATAACTGGAAGTTCAGGATCAACCACAAATCAGACGATAGTCTAAAATATGATTCATCTCTCACTAACTAGCTACCACGTCATATAAAAAAAGAGTGCAGATTTAAAAACTAGTGATTTTTTATTGGATAGTTAAATACTTCAGTTACAAAGCCTTTGAGAAAGCAACAAAACTTCCAAATGGTTGTCAAACAGAAACATTATTAAATTCAAGACAAGAATTCCACCTAAAACAATGCAGCAGAAACAGGGGTGCAAGACAAATACCTACAGTAGGTCTTGGTGTAGTTCTGATTTTTAGAATCTCTGGACGAGGAATTATGGAACTTGATGCTCCTAGACCTCTTGAAATTCTTACTTTGGTACCATCCTCTAAATATCTTACTCCAATCTTGCAAGGTTTCCTACATTTCAAAACACAAAGAAACAGAAGGGGAAAAAGAGGGAAAATTCAACAAGATTTCTCTTGGAACAAAAATCATGCAAAATAAGATCACATTTTGATATATAAGCATTTTGAAGCAGAACTACTGTTAATATCAAATTCTTATCATATGTACCCTGTGACTGGATCAAGAACTTGAACATTTGAGACATGAAGAGGAGCTTCCACTGTGAAAATTCCACCTTCATGACCTTGCCCTTGCTTGATGTGTTTCTTCACCTGTAAAGACAAGTAATTTTATTGCACAATTCATCATTCAACGGGAAAGAATATAAGTGGAAGATTGTGAAGAAATAACAAGCCAACCCCTGTGCCAAGTATAATATGTCCACAATGGAGAGGGACCTAGATCTCTCTGTTCATGAGTATCAGCAGATTAGTTGGCATAAAAAAGAATGATTGGAAGATCAAGAAATCATGGGAAATTCAGAGAAATTATTGGTTGACTGAAATGCTTTTATTCTTCCTTTATATGCTCTTTCTGGCCTTTGGCTTGTACACAGTTCATTTATTGTTAAAAAATGTTAATTGTATAGATTCTTCACCGTGGTGACTCTGGATCCTGCTTATTGAATATGACGTCACCTTATTAGCGCACCTAAAAAGAAGAATTAGAAGATCCAATTCCAACAAGCAACAAAGAAATCTCACCACGGTTAATTGGCATATACCTGGGCAGTTGGACTGTTGACCCATTTGATCTGATGATCGGGTCATGGGTTGCACATTAAATGTGTATGTAAACTTCCATAGGCCATAACTTTGCCTCAATGTCTGATTGGGGTGATCTCTTTTATTTTGGGTAACTTTTCAAGATCTATGCATCCCAAGTATGGCATGTTTCCCTGCTATTTTCACCAAAAAAAAACTTTTCGAGCCGCAAATCGCAATGTTTAAACATGTTTATAAATAAAAATAAAAACTGAATTAAAATATAAATTAAATATAAAATAATGCATTTTTTTAAGAATAAGTAAAATTTTATTAAAACAAAAACAAGAAAACTGATCAGGTGTCTAGGTGACACCCCTTACAAAGAAAGCAAACCTCCAACTTCAGTTTAGACCAACTGATTCACATTACAATTTTGAACCTCTAACAATTCCCAAAAGTTATCAGCAAAATCTGAAAATCTGATTTGTTCAAATTCTGGTAGAGTGATGACCCAGCTTGTGACTAGTTTGCCAACTGAAGCCACGACCTCTTCAGTCCTTTCCTTTCCTTCAAACAACCTCTCGTTTCTTTCCCCCCACAAAGACCAACAAACTGCAAAGGGGATACAGCTCCAGACAATCTTAGCTCTCAGACTTCCTCTATACTTTGGCCAAGAAGAGAAGATCTCAGCTGAAGAAGATGGTTGGAAGATAGGCATCCCAAAGAGGGAACAGTAGTAACTCCAGATACAGTTTGCTAAGTGACAAGAGAAGAGTTAGTGGTGTACAGTTTCCTCATTTGATTTGCACATATAGCAGTAACTCGCCAAGCAAAACCCCCTACTTTTCAGATGATCTATTGTGAGAATGCTATACATTGCAGCCAGCCATGCAAAGGCTTCAATTCTTGGAGGAATTGGGTTGCCCCAAATTCCAAGCACCTGATCATTAGTTACACTATCCTTGATGAGTTTCAAATAGAAAGATCTCACCATAAATCTTCCATCCCTGCTCTCTTTCCACCACAGCCCATCTTCACAAGCAGTGGAAATCTGAATCTGCTCCAGCCTATCCAGCAGCAGAACGCATTCCTCCAGTTCTTGGTCGCGCAGGGGTCTTCTAAACTTAGGACTCCAAACCACCTTATCACCACTTACTTCATAGCATTGGGCCACAGAGACCTGATGTTCAGTCAGTCTGTACAGCCTTGGGCAAATATCACAAAATTTCCCAACCCCACTCTAATCATCCTCCCAAAATCTTACTCTAGACCCAACTCCTACATTGAAGCTAACCAGACCTCTAAAGTCCTAGTTAAAGCTCATTATGCCCTTCCGCATTCCTACCCCATATGAGTTAGAAGCCTCCCTTGTTTCCCATCCAAATCTCACCACTCCATACTTTCCTGCCACCACTCTTCTCCATAATGAGTCCCTTTCCTTATCCAACCCAAACCTCCATAACTATTTACCCAAAAGAGCTTTGTTGAGTAATTTTATTCTTCTTAAACCCAAACTCCTAAAGCTTTCGGCCTACAAACTTTCTCCCACCTTACTAGGTGAATCTTTCTTCAACCTTTTGCCCCTTCCCAAAGGAAATCCCGTTGAATCTTTTCTATCTTATCAGCAATCAAGGTTGGTATTTTCAGCAGTGGTAGGTAATAGATAGGTAGGCTTTGAAGCATGCTCCTTATTAGGGTAATTCTGCCCCCCAAAGAGAGAGACATTGCCTTCCAATTTTTCAACCTCATTTCCACTCTCTCTATGAGAGGTTTCCAAGTACTTACAGATCCAAACTTAGCTCCAACTGGGAGTCCTAAGTACGAGAAAGGAAGTTCCCCAGTTCTGCACCCAAGGACTGCCGCAAAACTTGACAACTCTTCTTGACTGATGTCACCAACAGCAACCAAAACACTCTTCTCCAAGTTGGCCTTCATACCTGTTAGCATCCCAAAGTTTGCTAACACTGCCCTTAGATTCAAGACTTGATCTTCCACAGCATCTAGAAAGATGAGTGTATGAGATGCAAGGACCCTTGGCTCCTACATTGAAGCCTCCTAACCAACCTCCCTGGACACCCCTCTTCATTAACAGATTTAAAGCCTCCATCACTAAAACAAACAATAAAGGAAACAGGGGGTCTCCTTGTCTCTGCCCCCTAGAAATTTGAAAGAAATCTGAGGAGTCCTTGTTAAGGATCATGAGAGAGAGACTGAAGAAATGCAGCCATACATCCAGCCCCTCCATTTTTCTCCAAACCCCATTAACCTTTAAATCTCTTCCAAAAATCCCCATTCCACATGATTATATGCTTTCTCTATGTCAAGTTTGCACACTAATCCAGGTATTCCACTTCTAAGTCTCGAGTCTATACATTCACTTGCCACCATCACCCTGTCTAGGATTTGTCTTCCCTCCACAAAAGCCATCTGTGTCGCCCCCACTACTTCATGAAGTACTTTCTTTAGTCTCATTGATAGAACATTTGCCAAAAGCTTATAAGGGCTGCATAATAAACTTAATGGCCTGAAGTCCTTTATGTCTGTAGCCCCCATCTGTTTTTTTTTATTAGTGAAATAAAGGTTGCATTTGCTCTCTTGTCCACTGTTTTACTCTCACAAAACTCATTTATCATCTGCATAATATCATTCTCTAAGAAGTGCCAGCACTGTTTAAGAAGTTGAAGTTAAATCCATCAGGCCCCGGAGCTTTGTCTCCATTAATCCTCTTTAAGGCTTCCCTAACTTCTCCTACTTCAATCTCCCTCTCCAACCACCCAGCTGCCCTTTCACTCAACTTTCTTAATTCTACTTCCCCCAAAGTTATCCAGCATCATTGTCTCCCTGAATACAACTTTCTATAGAACTCCATCACTAGCCTTTGGATACTTTCCCAGTCTTTAGCCTCCTCCTCCCCTACCTGAATTCTTGAAATCAGATTTCTTCTCTTCCTTCCACATGCAAAGGCATGAAAGAAGGCAGTATTTTTATCACCCTCTTTCAACCATAGAATCCTTGATTTCTGCCTCCAACTCACCTCTTCTCTTAACAGCAACCTCTCTAGCTCCTTTCCAACCCTTCTTTTTCCAATTTAACCTCTCTAGGAAATATCTCCATCTCCTCCTCTGGCCTGTCCAGTCTTGCAATCTTCTCCAACACCTCTTTTTTCCTTCCTTCCTCATTCCCCAACTCCTCCTGCCTTCTCCCCCTCAGCTCTTCCTTTAGGCATTGTAGCTTCCTCATAATTCTGACACCAGCTGGCCCCTCAACCTGGAAAGATCTCCATTTTTCTTCTGCCCACTCTACACAGTTAGATTGAAGCAGCCATACATTTTCAAACCTGAATGGCTTTGGGCCTGAAATCTCTACAAAATCTCTTTATACTATTGGTTTATGGTCTGGAACAAATATTGGCAGAGGTTCGTGAACCAGGATGCCCATTCGATCCATCCAATCCCTCGATATCAGAAATCTGTCTAGCATTCTGAGGATAGATGGACATTGGCCGTTTGACCAAGTGAAACTTCCTCCATTCGAAGGAAGATCGAACAGCTCTGAATCATTAATAAGCTCCTCAAATCTCCTCATCCCCACACTGAATCTGCTCTCCCTTCCCCCTTTCATCTCATTCCTTCTTCTGACAGTGTTGAAGTCCCCTCCCAAACACCATGGCCCCCCCATCTCTGCTTCACCCTACTCAGTTCTTTCCAGAACTCCGCTCTTTCTCCTTCCGCATTCGGCCTGTACACATTTGTCAGTCCCCAAGTCCACTCTCCATTCATCTCATATAAGCAAACTGATAGCGAATATCTCCCGGCCCACTCCCCAATTTTTTTGAAAGTCCCTGGATCCCAGAGAATGACTAAGCCTCCCGACAACCCCATGCTTTCAGTTCCACCCACTCTCCCCCATCCGTCCCCCACAAATTGTGCATCATATTTATATCAAAGGTCTCCAACTTTGTTTCCTGTAAAAGGACTACATCTGGTTTTTGCTTTCTGATTAGGTTGTGAACCAAAGCCCTCCTCTTTTTCTCCCTCAATCCCCTGACATTCCAACTTAACAGCTTCATCTTTCCCCGCCCCTTCTATTAGATTACTCCCCTCTAACCAGTTCTCATTCTTCAAAAACAACCTAGTCTTCTCCTATTCTCATCCTCCCTAAAAGAAAAGACCAACCTATTGTTACTTCTCTGTCAACTATCCTTTCCAACCACGAATCCTTTCCCTCTGCTATCATACCACTTCCTCTCCCTACCTCCCCTCCCTCATCACTTCTACTCTTCCCCACTTCTGCCACTTCCTCTGAATTCCCCTCCCCTCCTGCTAAGTACTTCTGCCCCCCCCCCTCTTCTCTTTAAACAGACCCGACGATCTCCTTCTATTATACACACTCTGTTGATACACTATTTATTGATAAAATATGTGTTTATACCTATATATACATATATGTGTATATATTCATATGTATATATGTATATATTATATTTGCTGATGTGGCATGGTCTAACCTGTTTAACCCAGATGGTTGAACCCATGACCCACAACCCAAAGGAAAATGGCAAATAT